TACAATATTCATGGTTGCGTTCCATTCCTAACAACCACCCCGGAACGCAAACCCATTTTTGCTATACAATACAAATTTTTATGGTCAGTTGTCCCCTTGGTAAGTATATCTGCAATCATTTTATCATCGCTACAATAGTCAAACTTTATATTTAAATTGTTTACATGCTCTCTCAAAAAATGATACCTGATATCGATATGTTTAGAACGAGGTAGATAACAATCATTGGAAGACAATTTAATAGCGCTCTGGTTGTCGCTGAATATGTGAAGGGGGCGAGGGGCTGGCCGAACTCGACGTGCAGTTGTTGCAGCCATAGGGCCTCCTGTGTTGCCGACGACATTGCCATGTATTCTGCTTCGGCCGTCGACAGAGCCACCGTCTGCTGTCTCCTTGAGCACCAGGATACTGCGCCTCCCTGAGAAATAAAAACATAGCCCGTGCAGGATTTACGGTCAATGTTATCGCTGGCCCAGTCTGCGTCGCAGAAGCCCTTCATGATTGATTCGCCATCTTTGGCATAAGTGAGCTTCAAGTTTTTAGTTCCTTGTAAGTATCGTAGGACTCTTTTGACAGCTGTCCTGTGTTCAGCTCTGGGCTCTTTATTGAATCGACTAAGAGTATTAACTGCATAAGAAATGTCAGGCCTTGTGCCTTGAGCGATGTAGAGCAGACAGCCTATAGCTTGTTGGTAAGGGTAATCTACTTCCTTGCTGTCAGCACACTGAGCAAACTTTTGGCCGACTTCAACTGGTGTTTTACATGGTTTACAATCAGACATGTAAAACTTGTTGATTACATCTTTAATATATTTTCCCTGGTCAATCATAATGATGTCTTTATCCCTTGTTATGTTCAGACCAACACACTGACTGACTTTACCTAGATCCTTCATCTCCAAGTATTGCATGAGCCTGTTCTTGATCATATCCTTTTCTACTTTATTCGGAGTAAACAAAATAAGATAATCGACCCATACAGCAATATAGATATTCTTGTTGACATTAAAATATACACAGGGGTCAGATTTCGACCTTTCCATACCTATGTCCTGCAGCACAGTATTTAGTTTTAAATTCCATTACCTGCTTGCCTTTTTCAGTCCATATAAAGATTTATGCAATTGACATACCTGAGACCCTTGCTCGTATAATTTTGGTTGCGTCATATATATTTCCACATCAATGTCTCCCTGAAGGAATGCTGATACTGCATCTAGCTGATCGATCTCAAGCCCCAATCTTGCAGCTAGTGATATTAGATAGCGTATGGTACTGTATTTTACCACAGGAGAGAACACTTCCTCATAGTCAGTGCCCTTCTTCTGAGCATATCCTTTAATGACGAGCCTGGCCTTGAAACGAACTATATTACCACTTTGGTCAGTTTTAGTTTTGTATACCCACTTGCTCGGTAAAAGTTTTCTATCCAAAGGCAAGTTTTTTAAACTCCAGATGCCATTTTTCATCAACGAGTTGTACTCCTCATCCATTGCCTGTCGCCATTGTTTGGCATATGGTGTGCTGTGGATCAGAGAAACTTGAAAGTAAACAAAACATACTGTTTTCATCTGTATTTGTATTAGTTCTTTCTTGTGTTCTATTTCGAGGCCTCAGTGTGATATTCCGTAGCTGATTCTGGGAGTCTATCCATCTCGGTGTGACATATGTTGTATCCAAATCCCCTGTATCCTTCTCATACTCACTAGAGTCCTCATTTGTAACACAATCACTGATAGTTTCTTCATTTGGTGGGCTGAGGTTTCTTACCTCTATGGGTGCTTTTGTGAGTACCAGGACATTACTTCTGGGACTTGCAGAAATAGATTGACTGCCACACAGCTGTGACTAAATTTGTTTATTTTGGCAGTTTGTAGACGAAGCTGAAACATCATAACAAACAGTTAGATATAAGTTTTTACAACTTTCAAAGAAGGTAACATCTCTCCTTTTGGTAAGTTTGTATATTTTTTCATTTAACAAACGATTACAATATATGCTGTAGTCCCCACTGCCTCGGCCCACAATTTCTTTGGTAGGTTGGCATGGAACAGCATACATCTACCTTTCTCAACCAGTGTCCTATTCATCCGTTCAGCCAATCCATTGTGTTGAAGGGTGTAGGGAGTAGAAGTTTGATGTACTATACCACTATTTGATAGAAATTTTGCAAAATGAGTATTACAGTACTCAGTACCATTATCTGTTCTTAATACCTTTATTTTCCGAGAACAATGGTTTTCAACTTTATTTTTATAATCCTTGTAAATTTATAACACTTTGCTTTTATTTTGCATGAAGTATACATGTACCATTCTAGTATAATCGTCTATAAAAGTGATATAATATTTCATACCTGAGCAGCTCAAATTCTCCATTGGTCCACAGAGGTCAGAGTGACAAGCTCTAATGGTGCTGTAGCTCGGGAACCAATATTCTTAAACGGGAGCCTTGAATGCTTGCCTTCACAACAAGAAATACATTTAGTCACATTATTCTCAGTATTAGTTAGAGTGACTCCCTTGACACAGTCAGGTAGCCTATTGACATCTTGAACATTTAAGTGCCCCATACGTAAGTGCGTCAAATAAGTGTCACTACACTTCTCCTCACTAGAGCTTAAATGTGCTGCTTCAGGACTATTTTCTGTATCCAAAATGTACAATTTATCATTTAGAGTTGCAAAACATATAAATTTGCCATGTGTATCATGAACATCACAGCCTCTTTGAGTAAATGTTACTTTGTAACCACTATTAACGATAGCACTCACTGAGAGTAGGTTGACGGCTAAGTCCGGATGACAAATAAAACAAATAAAAAACAAATAAAACATTTTTTAGCCGAATGTTCTTACTAGTCTAACATCAGTGTATCCAACTCCTCCAACTGACAGCGGCTCTTTATTAGCTACCGTTATTCCCTTTACCGGTGGCTCTGTGACATTGTACAACCAATGTCTATTACCAGTCATATGCATAGACGCACCTGAGTCCATGAACCATCTGTTATGGTTTTTTTCTGAAAATGCTGAAAAAACTGCAATAAAACCTTTTTGCTTTTTTCATTCTCAGTCTTGCTCCCCTTAGCACTTGTACAAAACTTTGCGAAGTGACCATAACTATTACAGTTGTAACATCTTGGCCCCTTTTTAACCTTTGATTGTTGTAGGTGATATTTATGTTTTCTTGCTTTTGAGTTTACATATAGAGCAGTACTGATATCTGCTGACCGAACTTCTTGTAGGAGCTTGGTCTTGATAAGATCGGCATTTATCTTCGCGCCAGAACTCTCAAGCCCTATAATCATCGGAGCATATATGTCGGGCAGACCTGCCAGTATTATGGTGCCCAGCCACTCATCATTCACTTCAAACTCTATGTTACGTAGCTTGTGGGCTGTGGTCATTATTTTGTTGACATATGACTCCACATTACCGCTAGATTCCAGAGTAGTATTCACTTAATCTTTTAATAGTCCAACTCTTCTGGTCAATCCGTTGTCATTAAATGCTCGCAGAAGATTTTCCCACACTTCTTTAGCAGTTTTACAACATTGTACATGTACATAGTTTTGTGGATCTAACAACAGTATTAACTTGGACTTCGCCTTGATATCTTTACTTGGATGGATTTACAACAGGTATGTCACTCTTTGGCTCCACACAATGCCATAAGTCTTCGTGTTCTAGATAAGTTCTGACACTGAACTTCCATGTTGCGAAGTTCTCACGCCCGATCAACTTATCGAGATTAAACATGCGATGCGACGAACTCATTTTGTAAAAATCGCCGGCCGGTCACTTGCACGCGTAATAACCTCAAATATTTTCCAGTACACGTACACTTCAAAGTACTGATAAATTCCACTAATACTTGCTAAGCAACACGCTCTGCTACCATGAAGGAATAGTAGCAATAAATCAAGCTTATGTATTATTTCGTGTAATTTATTTGAGAGTACATACGCTAAAAGCAGTTTTGCTAAGTAAGAGAGCTAGGTGAGCGCCGCACAGCGGCAAAACGGAGACAACTAATACAGATTAAATAATGGACCTACAATATTCATGGTTGCGTTCCATTCCTAACATATTGAGGTTTCAATTTTTTTTTCTAAACTGAATAGTTTACGCGAGAGACATTTCCAAAGTGGTAAAATGTGTGTCCCCTGTAACTTCGAAAAGAAAAGAATATTTGTTTCTTAGGTTTTCACGCACATCACCTTGTACCTTCGAAGGTAGCTCGACAAATTAAATAAAAGTTTGATACTGACGACGTAGACTGTAAAGGCTACGAAACGTCAATAAATGAATAAAGTTTCGTGCGTTAACCCGTAAAAACTAGTCTTATTTAAATAAGAGAATGATAAAACTAAAAAAATATATGATGTACATTACCCTGCAAACTTCCACCGAAAATTGGTTGAAACGAGATCTAGTAAGTAGTTTTGTTTAATACGTCATAAATCGTAAACCGCTATTTATCATTCATTCAATCAACTCAAATATAAAAATAATGATTTTAATTTTATAGCTACATTTTTAAATTGAAAGAAAAATTTACGAGAAAAAAAACCACTCGATCCCGGTTTCCGATAGAAAAAAATACCGTTTGAAACCTGGACTAGTGGATTTTTTTTATTTTTTTGGAATAAGAAAAGGGTTATCGTGTCGCATCCTATGGTATACGGTGTTCAACACGGGTCGGTCCTTGGACCACTCCTGTCGTTAGCTAAGAAATCGGTAATCAGTATAGACAGATATTCATTCAGTATTATTTTGGCACTGAATTATTTTGTTAAATGATACCCAAAAAAGACATACAAAATAAATACATAATATCAAAGTAATAATAATCAAGAAGTTTTGTTTATTACTCAGGGTAATTTCGATTTTTAATATTTTATTTGAAAAAGTAAAACCGAGTGCAGGCCCTGTATTAGCCGAAACGGCCGTACTTAACTAAGCCGATAAAAGCAAAATCCAGTCATACCGACGTTGGTGCTGCAACTGAAAGTGTCCAAAGTCACGTTTTCGTGACACCATTCCCCATTCATTTTTCAGTATAAAAATAATTTCAACAAATTCGAGCTTAGACGACATTGAATTTTTAACAAAAACTTGTGAGCTAAAATGTTCGAACTAGTGTATTTAATATTCTGTTGTAACTTATTTGGTAAGTATCTTTTGAAAGGTTTAGAAATATACAAGTTTAAGATATTTAGCTGTAGTTTATGGTATTCGAAATGTCAGTTGGTGAACTACATACGTTGGCACAAGTAATAGGCTATGGCAAAGTATTATATGTTGTTTCTTTTTTCATCTAGCTGTTATTTATTTAAACTTTATTGCCACAATTACAAAAATGGACAAAAGGCGGACTTAACTCTAAAAGCACTTCTGCCAGTCAACCTTGAGGCTAAAGAAATTCACGAATACGGCTATCATCATCGAATCATTGTGTGTAAAGTTCATGGTTGTGTATGTCATGTTATTATTGTTAGTATAAAAAAATCTAATTTTCCTTTAATGCACAATAATCAAAAGCTTACCCGATAGACTAATGAATAGATAACATTTCTAGGCGGTTGTCATGAACAGCTGTAATCGATATTTCTTCTAATTTAATTAAAATAAATTTAGTTTTCTTGATAAAAGTAATTCATAATCTAAAATTAGACGGATCAAAATAAAGTTAAAGTTAATTTGGTCTTCTGATTCACGTCCAATATAGATGTATCGTTTGTTAGTATTTTAATATTTGTATATAATAATTAATAGTTCATCAGATTACCCAGATTTTTTTTAGAATTTCATTTGCTTGATGGAAATTATACCTAATCTTAATCATCTCATAACAACAAAATTATTTGCTCTTCTGGTCAAACGTTCATGAACTGTATGTACTTATATATGTACTTTTTATTTTCCTATTATTTATAATGGCAATAATATCAATTTAACACATTCCTTTTCAAACAACCAATTTGCTAAATATATGCATGCCGAAACTAAATTTACATCGATAACCGTCAACAAAAACGTTTAGCTTATCAAAAACGAGTCTAAACCATTCACTTGACAGAAATTGGCAGTTACTGTTAAGATAACACTCTAAGTAACATATTTTAAGTTTATTTAATTTAAAAAAGTATAAATGATATCACAATCTGTGGGAACATATTAGTACACGTACGTCCGTCGTATCGTCTTACAACCTGGGATCCTTTAAAAGAGGCGTAAAGAAGGAACATGCATGCCGGCAGGGTGAGGATGGCTGGTGTGGCAGGTAAAATTGCTGTATCAGCTATCTTCTCATCTGGACTTCACCTTCACTTAACATCAGGTGTAGTGAAGTCATTTGTCGGACTCATCTAAAAAAAAAATCGTGGAACACATTCCCAAAAGGATGCATGCTATGATTTTGACACGATCACATTTATTAAAGGATTTTAAGGTAGAATAGTTAAGAAAGTTAATTGTGTCGATTCCGATATGATTCTCTAAACCTAATCTTAAATTTGACAACAGTGTCCCCTAAAATACAAAATAAAAAGGGGAGATTGATGTTAAGTTTAGAGAATCATACCATATATCGACACCAATAGTTAGTTATATGTTCTTGCATGGATTTCACTTACACAAAACAGTAGAAATCTAAAGATTTAATGTGGCAAAAAGCGGTTTTTAATTTATAATTATATATTCCAGTTGGTATAAAAGCTTTTCCGGGCATGGAAGAATGCATAAGTCCTCCTTTGGAGTGCCCTAACATAAATATAACGTTTTGGTTATATACTAGGTAAGAATACGTTTAAATAAATAGTTATGAGTTATTTTAAACCTACTTTGGTAAATCTACCTTCGTTTTATTATTAAAATAACCACATAAAAGCTTTCAAATGGATATAAATTAAAAAAAAAATGTTTTAAAAGTCTTAATTAATTTCCAGGGCGAATGAAGACAAGCCACATCAGATACGTGCGGGAGATTCAGAATCTATTAAAAAGGCTCCATGGGTGCAACATGCTCCAGTCAAAATACTTGTCCACGGATACACGGGCTTTAAAGAATTTTCACCAAACACGGAAATAAGACCTGGTACCTAATTATTTTAACAGGGTAGTAGTACATAAAATGTCGAATAACGCAATGGAGACTAGTTTTTCTCGGTAAAATAAAATAAATTACTAAATTAGATACATTACGTACTCCCGAAAGATACTCGTATGTGGAACTTATATTATATAAACTTGAACTTGCAAACTGTTATTATATATCTAGTGCAGTGCAGTGTTAGTATTGTGTTTCTTTCAGCTTACATGGAATGCTGTAATTACAACATTATAAGCGTAGACTATGAACCAATAGCCAGACAACCTTGTTACATACAGGCCGCCCACAACACTGAGCTCGTGGGGATGTGCACTGCTCAGCTGATTGATGATTTAATTGAGAATCACGGTTTTACATTGGATCAGTTTCATCCGATCGGATTTAGTCTTGGAGGGCAAACGGTTGGTTACATTGGAAACTACTTGAAATCAGGGAGGCTGAATAGGATCACGGGTAAATCTTTTATTTATTTATTTATTAAGAGTTATTTAAAGACTTACTGTTACCTATTAACTACCCCTAGCACGAACCATTATCGAATTCGAATAGCTTGCAAACCGAAATGTCTTTGTGAAATTTTGTATGGAAACTTGAACAGCAGCGACACAAACTACGTAACGAGAACTAAATAAATCAGTACACATTTGACAATGACATTTCGGCCACGCAAACGATACGAATTCAATATTGGTTCGTGCTAGGAGTAGGGGAAGTACGTACAAAATGACATACATGGACAAAATGACACAGTGCGTTTTTTTCAAACCTGGCGGGCAGGAACGAGGTGATTGACAGCGTATCACGTGACGTCGGCCATTTTTTCCAACCTGTCAAATTCTCCGCTCTCTCGGCTTAGTTGCACCACAGTAACCGGCACAGACGTGTTTTCTTCGTGTCAATATTTTTTTTTCTCGTGACTTACTTCTGGCTTTAGGTAAGTTTTACTTTATTTTCTTTCATTATTGTAACTTAAAGCAATGCGTTGTATCCTTATGTTGCGATGTAGGTAAAAATTATATTTAATAATAGTGTTTACAGTTAGTTTTGAACTCTGGATTCATCTCACATATGGTGGGACAAAATGACATACTTGATCACCGGACATAATGACATATATATGTCATTTTGTCCGTATTGATTAAGGAATTTTTTTTTATTTACAGGTAATATGCCGCGGGACTACCAAAGAAAATCGCAGCGTCAAACCTGGAGTCATGATTCAATGCAAAAAGCAATTGAAGCAGTCCAAGAAAACAAGATGGGATGGCTGTTAGCATCCAGAACTTTCGGTGTGCCTCAGGCTACACTTAGGAGACATGCATTAGGAAAAAACAAAAGTTTACCTTCCAACACCAAAGGTCTAGGTAGATACAAATTGACATTTCCACCGGAAGTTGAGAGAAAATTAGTAGAGCATTTGAAATTTTTAGAAACTCGACTTTTTGGCTTGACTCGAAAATCCGTTCAGGAGCTTGCCTACGAGTTAGCAGAGAAAAATGGATTTGCTCATTGCTTTAACCGAGAAAAAAAACGCGCAGGCCAAGAATGGTTAGATGGTTTTCTCAAACGCAATCTAGATATTTCTTTGAGAACTCCTGAGCCTACTTCGGCAGCTAGAGCTCAAGCATTCAATAGACCACAAGTTTCTAAATTTTTTAAACTTTATCAAAAATTTTTGGACAAATACAACATAGGACCACACAGAATTTACAATGTGGATGAGTCGGGTCTTTCCACGGTTCAAAAACCTCAAAAAATTTTAGCAACTAAAGGCAGAAAACAAATTGGATGCCTTACCAGTGCTGAGAGAGGAACGAATGTGACGGTCATTTGTTGTGCGAATGCAATTGGTTCGTTTATCCCTCCTTGTATGATATTTCCAAGAAAAAATATGAAAAATGAACTTGTAGATGAAGCGCCGATTGGCACTTTAGGAGTGGCTCAGGAATCTGGATGGAGTAATACAGAGATATTCTTAAAATGGTTAAAACACTTCCAAGCTTATACAAAATCTACTAAAGATGATCAAGTCCTTCTTATTTGTGATGGACACGCAAGCCACAAAGGTATCGAACCATTGCTTTATGCTAAAGAGAATGGGATTAATATTCTATGTCTCCCTCCACATTGTACTCACAATATGCAACCAATGGATGTGAGTATCTTCGGGCCTTTGAAGACTTATTTTCATCAAGAAATCTCCATATGGTTAAGAAATCATCCAGGGCGTGTAGTTACGCATTTACAGATAGGATATTTATTTAACAAAGCTTATGGGAAAGCGGCGACAATACAAAATGCATGTAATGGGTTCAAAAGTACAGGTATATGGCCAGTAGATCCAGAAATTTTCCCAGATTACATGTTTGAACCTGCAGAAACAACTAATATACCATTAAACCAGGATGTTACAGAAATTGAAATAACAAGTGAGAATAATAAAGTAAGCGTCACGACAACCAGTAACCAGTTGACCCAGGAAAATTACCCCCTTTCTAGCCCAGATCCATCAACATCAAACTGCGCTGTTGAATGCCCATTGAACAAGTCTCCAACCATAAATGAATCTTCAGAAAGCGTCAATGTGAGACCTGGTTCTTCTGGAAAATCATTATCGTTTCCAGTTGAAGTTCTGTCACCAGTACCATACGGACAATTCATTCGGGGTCAAGGCAAGAGAAAGCGAAAAGTACGCCAGTCACATTGGCTATTAACTTCTACACCTAATATGAATGAAATAAAAGAAAAAAATGCACCGAAAAATCCTCCTGAAAAAAGAAAAAAACAAGTGACGAAATCACTGTTCGATGAATATTCAGACGTAGAAGATTTTCCGGTTGATACCCAAGATGACGATGATGATTGCGCTTGCATTTATTGCAATGATCTTTTTTCGCGTTCAAAACCTGGAGAGGACTGGTTAAAATGCATGAAATGTGGTCACTGGGCTCATGCATCATGTGCTGATGTTCCTCGGAAGACCAAAAAATTTATTTGTGAACTTTGTGCTTGACTTTTTTTCGATTGAGCTAAACTTTTTTTAGTATGTCATTTTGTCCTTAATTAATATGTCGTTTTGCCCATACAATATGGACAAAACGGATTTTCTACTTTTTGTGGATTAAGCTCTAGATCTCCTTTATTATGGTTCCTATTCATTTTTAAGTTTAAATTATAGTAAGACAAATGATCAAAGATGATTATTAAACTTCAAGACTGATTGTAATGACTTTCAATTAAAATATATAATGTTTAAAAAAAATACTATGTCATTTTGTACGTACTTCCCCTACTGTTTGCGTGGTTTCGTGCCAAAGTGATGACTTGTGCTGCCATAAAATACTACAACTCTCGAAAAAGCACAACTGCAAAAGCATATTGCAGCCAACGGTGTGACGTAAAAACCACATTTGATTCTAGATGGCGCTGTTATTAAATGTTCCATATCTGCAAGCGTACCGTGACATTTTCCTTCATGTCTATTAACTGCACCTGTCTAACTTTATTGTTATAAACTTACAGCACTCGATCCAGCATTTCCATTATTTGTAACGCCCGATAATAATAGAAAGGTTGATAAAAGCGATGCTTTGTTTGTGGACGTACTGCATACCAACGCGCTGTGGAAAGGGAAGTTGGAACCCAGTGGCCACGTCGACTTTTACGCAAACGGCGGTTTGACACAACCCGGTTGCAATGCAACGGCTAATGCAAGTAAGTAATGTGAATAATCTTAAGACGACAAACCCATTTTACGGTCGCACTCGAGCCGTCAATGGCTGTCCACACAAAATTCAATGTAGATGGCGCGAGTGACGATGAGCCTGCTGTCAAATTATTGCGCTTTATTTACAAAATGTATTTTATTCTAATGGGTCCCCAAGACCCAATGACAAATGAATGAAGTCCACTTGACAAATCTTCGTGTTGATCGATTACCGCGTTGACTTAACACTACCGTCAAGCGTATTACGAGCTTGATCACAACCCAAAATAAAACACATACGGCGCTTGATGGGCTTGCGTTTGACGGGACTTATTCATTTGCGGTCATAACATAGACATGTTTATTCATTTGCGGTCATAACATAGGTAATGTGGGTGACGAACAGGACCTCAGAATAATAGAACAGGACCTACACGTGGCCATGGCCAGAAGTGCCGACATCTTTAGCGAGTGTGCTTTGTCCTACTGCTAATATCTCTCTACAAGGATGTTCAAGAGTTAATATACCTCAATTTATATCATTCCTTGCACCATCGTCTCTTACTTAATTTTGTAACAGATACAGCTATTGAATCTAGATCTAGAGTCAATAGCGAGGAATGCCAGGTCTGCGTTGGAAATAATTTTTATTTTTGCGACGATTTTATTGAGCGTAGGTCGTCGGCCTACCGATCTATGCATAAGTCCATAAAGTGAAACAGTCAATCACGTAAGACTTGTCTAGTGGGCTTGATCGTCTCGGGGACCCATAATTAAAGCAGAGAGTCCTAGTAATTTGGACGTCATGAACCTCATAGGATTGTGAGACGAATTAAAAAAAGAGTCAACATACGATAACTAGAATAATCGGATGTTGTTGATAGGTAGGACATTCTTAGTAAATTATTAGGTAAATGATTGGTCTCCCTGTGGTCGAGCGTTTTTTTTCTAAATTTATTTATCCATTGTAAAGTAAATGCCCATGTTATAGTCAAGTTCAAGCGTTGCATAATTGAAATTATCTGCGTAATAGTGACTGAAATTATACACTTAGAAATGTGTTTTATTATTATATTTTAATATATTGGTCAGTATTCCAATGAACACCCGATTTTTTGGTTTTTCATTTTATTAAATTCAAAACAATACCCATTAATTAACACAGTCTCACGCCTGCTGTTAAATGACAATTGTGTAGGGTAAATATAATTTAAGCCCACTTGCTTACAGCAGGTGCTTATCTCGAATTGACATTGATGTTTTTACATTTTTGAAGTTATACTTCTTTAGGCGCGTTATGAAAAAATGATGAGAGTGAAATTTTGCGTTACTTTTGTGTTTACCGCACATTAAGAAAATCTACCAACAAAATAGAAAAAGAATCTCTATTTAGTGGGTGCTAACGACTGCATTGTGAAGGCCTATCAAAAGTATTTATTAATCTGGAACAACGGAACCAAAGCGCGATTCAGGAGACTACAGCGCCAACTCTTGACCATTGGTGTAGTAGAACCAAAAACTTGTTTTTTTTGGTTGGTTAGTAGAACCAAGAACCACATCTTTATTTTTTGTAATAAAGTAACAGTTATAGGTATTCATATTTATAATATCAAAAGTATTTATTAATCTGGAACAACGGAACCAAAGCGCGATTCAGGAGACTACAGCGCCATCTCTTGACCATTGGTGTAGTAGAACCAAAAACCACATCTTTATTTTTGTAATAAAGTAACAGTTATAGGTATTCATATTTATAATATTTATCCACATGTTTCTAGTTTGTATATTCGGAATACGTGTTTGAGTTTCATACAAGTGCAAATCACATATGTTTAATAAATTATATTCAGTAGCGATTTTAATTGAATATTTTGATTATTTATTTATTTTTTCAAATTAAAACTGAACTTTATTGACTGTGTCCTTTTCCAGACTTTTTATTAATTTATTGTAATTAATTATTTGCATGCTATTAAAAACTAATTTTAAACGATGCCAAAGAAGGATAACTTCTCACGCGCCTACATAAGTACACGCACCCATTTTTTTTTAAATAAATCTATAATAATAATAATAATAAAAGCCTTTATTCACTGACCAAATACAGTTTGACTTATATGCTATGGATTTTAAATCTAAATATTATATAAAAAAGTATATTATATATAATGGTATTCTTCAGCAACCAGTTTGTTGGTCAGGTTGTCCTTTGACATAGGCCTCCCCTAGTTTCTTCCACTCGTCTCTGTCACGAGCTAGCCTTCTCCATCCTTTTGGTAAATCGTCTTCCCATCTTTTAATTTGCCGTCCTTTTCGCCTTTTTCCATTCCTATTATACCATTCCATAACATCTTTCGTCCATTTCTCCTTGTTTGTTCTCATGATATGTCCAATCCAGGTCCATTTAAGTTTTTTAACCTTTTGTAGAATGTCGCTTACTTTTGTTCTTTTCCTTATTTTTGAAATTTTCCACCTGTCCTGGAGCTTTATATTAAGCATGCTACGCTCCATGCTGCGTTGGCAGACTATCAGTTTTTTGGTTATTTCTGTGGCCAAATTTAACAACCGTAGGATAGACATGGAAGTATACATGCATTGAACAGTTTACTTTTAATTAGCATTGGTATTGCATCATTCTTGACTATCTCTTTTAGTGACCAATATCGTTTCCAAGTGTTGCTTATTCTTCTATCAATCTCTTTTGAATATTGGTCTTTTGGCGATATTAGTTGTCCTAAATATACATATTCGTCAACATATTCGATTAAGTCCTGCCCTATTTCTATGTTCTCTTTTGTTGCATTCGTCATTATTTTTGTTTTTGCGGAATTCATACATAATCCTGCTTTCCTGCTTTCATCGTCTAGTTGCTGTAACATGATTTGTAGTTTTCCTGGTTCCTGAGCAAAAATTACTATATCGTCTGCAAATCTTAAGTGATTAAGGTTTATTCCATTTATATTTATTCCAAACTTTTGCCAGTCTATATTACGGAAGATATTTTCTAGTACTGCAGTGAATAATTTCGGGGAAAGTGGATCTCCCTGCCTAAAACCTCTTTGAATATTGAATTCTTCTCCTTGCTGTTCAAGTTGGACCTTTTTTGTTGAGTTTCTATAAATTTCTTTTACAATATTAATATATTTGCTTTCTACTCTTTGGTTTTCTAATGTTGTCCAAATATAATTATGTTATAAATTTATGTTATTAATAAATCTAGTTTTAGTTAAATCGACATGTAGCAAATTTGCTACAAGTGGGCCTTAGGCCTTAGGTAATAGAAAAATATCAAAACATTAATGTCAATTTGACATTATTATATGGGCTAGATCTAGTTTTCGTTAAATTGAGATCTAGCAAAACTGCTGCAAGGAGACTTAATTGTCTAAGCGCTACTGAACCAACTGACTAACCAGTTTCCCACGAAGAGAATACCGTTCTGGAAGGTATCTCGCGGTTGCGTCATTATCCCTTAAAATTTTGAAAAGATAATAAAACTTTTTTTACCCTGTTGCTACAAGACTACAATTTCAATATGTCGTTATATACATATGATTTAAAAGCTGATAGAAAAGCCACGAAGAAGTTGGAAAGTCCCGAATAATTTTCAGGTATATTAGAAAATAAAAGTGTGCTTTTTCTGCTCGTAATCATTCAATATACAAAGGGCCCTGCTGGACTGACAAAACTTTCTTGTTGATCTTCTTCTGTTCTTTCAGAGATCAATTAGGTAGAAACAGATTTGTAAATAATACATTTTTTTACTTTTACAGCAAAGTCTAGCTGTGACCATGCTCGGGCCCCTATGTATTTCGCTGAGTCAATCATCTCTGATAGGGGCTGCTATGCAAGAAAATACTCCTGCTTGTTGTTCCTGGGATTATGTTCACCGAATAAACCTGACGAGACCATCCTGTTTGGTGAACATGTATCTCAAAAGTGAGTCTTACTAATTTCAAAGAAGCTCTTTATTCATCAAAATCTGTCTCTTTAGTTCTTTAGTCTCTAAAGCTCTTTAGTTTATCAAAATTATCATACATTGTAATCCAGCAGAAAACCAAGTTATCTCGGGCTCGAATTTTAAAATCTGCTGAATACAATGGTATTCTAAATGAAGTTTTACACCAATCACTTTAGTTTTAGTTATGGGTGGATTACAAGTAGTATATAGGTCATCTTATGGTGAGCGGCGACCTAAGACTATACCGCTTGGGATACGAGAGTAGATATCCATCGTGAGTTGTCTATCTCCACGGGGTACCGTGGAGTCCGAAAACTCTTTTCACGAAGAGAAACTTGTAAAGTTTTTAAGCAGAAATGCAGTGCCTGTTAATATCGAGGATTATATACACTCCCGGACTCTTGAATCGAGTCACATTCCCGGGCCTAAAAGCCCAATACACAAAAAATATACAATATAACAAAAAAGTTTTTATGCATTTTTAATGCTGGCATATTTCATCGTCTTTCCCGTATGTATTATTCCAAATTTGAATTTTAGAATTTAAAATAAAGAACAAAAGCCGAGCTTGGTCACTGATTTGAAAAAAATAATGACTGTTGAAAGTTGCTTTTGAAGCAATTTAATGTCGATTTGGTTTGAATTTTCGCAATTGTTGTAAACCAAAGTTTAGTTTAGTTATTTTTCTATAATTTGAACCATTTTTGGCTATAAAATTATGGATACTTCACCTGAAGTAGCCGCGCAAGCTGTAGCACTTCTTCAATCTGAGCTAAGTCAGCGAGATGTGAGTTCACAACTTCACATAAGTCGTTCCGCTGTTCAAAGAGTATACCACCGATACCTGGAGACTGGCGGCTTCGTTCGGCGAACAGGAGGACCTCGTTACTGAGTGACAACGGCGAGACAAGATCAATACATTGTCACTACTAGCTTACGAAATCGACGCCTTAACTCTGTTCAGATACAAGAACAGCTCAGGGACTTTCACGTCGGACCGTTAGAAGGCAACTCAATGAAAGTGGTTTAAAGCCCCATAAGCCAGCCAATGGACCCAAATTGACACGAGCACACTGAATAGCGCGAACATCTGAATTGGACTCGACATCAATGGAGCCAGGTTCTCTTCACAGATGAGTGTGATGTTAAATTCTCCTCCACTGCCCTCTTTTAAGCTCACTCAGAGCACCGGGGGAACAATGAAAGAAAACCAAAAGAATTAAGATAATGTTATAAGTATATTTTATCCACTTTAGATACCAAAGCATAGGAATTCAGTAGTTTTAAGTTATTGCTTATATAAATCAACAAGCCTAACTATGTTTATTATTTATATAATAACTATGTTTCACTAATTATAAATATCCAAGCTGAATACAGTAGTTCAAAGTTAATGTGTATATAAACCAACAAGTTGTCATGAAAGGTTATAATTATATGAATATCAGACATTCATAACACTTTACCATGTACTTACATGAATTCTCAACTATATCTAATCTATTTTATCCACACATACCACATAGACTAGACTGAATAAGCTATTTAGTGGATTTCAGAGGTTCTACGGCTCGTTTGATCGATATTGGTGACAAACTTAGTTAATTCTAGTTCTCAGTGAGATAACCAGTTATATAGATATATGTATATATATGGAAATGGGTAGGTCGGGGTCCAACCTCGCCTTGTGGTTCTTCTCCACGCTCACCCGGGGTTAGTAGTGAAATACCTTGATTAGGATAGGTTTAGCTGTGTATAATCTGTCTGCTGTTACGGCCGGGTTACATAAAACCGGAGAGCGGCTGGCAAATAAACTCCCGCGTCCCTTCTGGTCCGTGTACAGAGAAAGGTTCTCCTTGTTATTCCTCCAGTATTTCTTGAGGGGAACGTACAAGCCTGAAGTTCACATTGAAAAAAAATTATCAGACATGGGGAAAATACATAGATTACCACATCTGTAGTGAGTGAGGGAGTGAGGGATATTCACGGTCAATGTTTACACTTTAAATCACTACATGACTGGGGCCCGTCCCACCGGGCTGAAGGAAATCAATTTCATGTTCACTAACTTGACAAGAATGATTAGGTATATTTGATGACAAGAATCACCATATTGTGCATAATGCAGTTCAATTAGTGCTAGGAGAATAAATATGAGGTCAGATGATAGCTTACCGTTCGAAATATGAAACTATCCGTAAGTATTTTGTTTCCTATCACAAGTTACTGCCTTATTATTGCAACGCCTTGCGAAGGTTCGTGTTCGTCCACCTACGATACAGAATATCAACAGAAAGGTTATTTTTCACAGCCCAAACTTGCAAAATAAGTAGGAAAAAGAGTTACTCCAATATACCTGCGAAACTCAGTTCGGTTAGCGACTTCGCGCTATTTCCGCCAATATCCTTCAGGATATAAACTTTTCGGATCTATTTCACGACTCCGACGACTATAATATGCCTTACAATATACTTTGGGCAGAAGAAAAGATGAAAAGTTAACTGTACCACAAACAGATTGTGAAATTTTAAATGTTGTTTTGACAATTGCTCATAGATGATAGACGGGTCGTCCACTCCCAAACATGTGTCTATGATTTGTTTCTCACTCCAACTGAAGGCAAAGGCCACAGTCAAACAGACAGCCGCCGCATTCGAGACGAACCGAAGAATAAACTCAAAACTATATACCTACGCTCGCCGTAAGCTGAGGAAAAGGGAATACCTACCCAAATCAGCGAGGAAATTCAATTTCGAGTAAAATTCAAAATCGATTAAAAACAGCGCCCGATAAGGAGGACTAAAATCGATATAGGAAAAACTATTCAAAATTCAACAACTGTCAAACTCCATCCATTCATCCATGCGCCCCCACAGAGATTCACTGCCTGATTACTTTTTTTTTTTTTTTTTATAAGTCTCAAGGCGAATATTTTAGTCGAATAGAAAAATCGACTCTTCCCTCAAGGCTACCAACCCAATCAATGAAGTTTGACAGCTACGCTGACGTAAGCGGTTCGCTATCATAGACAAAACAGCTGTCCTACGTGTGTCAGTGTCACGCTCTGTTTAAAAACAAACACTACATGAGTCCAAGATAATGCTATACGGTAATGACGGAAGGAGTAAGGTGTACCGAAGACAGAACGAGCGCATTGCTGTATTGACGAGAAAGTGAGTTATGGTGGAGAATCATGGACAGTCTGGGGAGGAATCTCTATGGAAGGCAAAACTGAGCTAGAGGTAGTGACGGGACCACGACTGCCGCCCCTAGATGGCAATAGATACATTCGCCAATGTTTAGAGAACCACGTGATGCCATATGCTGGATTTACTGGCCAAGATTTCGTTTTAATGCATGATAATGCAAGGGCCCATACTGCAGGAATCGTCAGGGAGTACTTAAATGACATTGGTATCACTGTTATGAGATGGCTAATGCGAAGTCCGGATATGAATCCTATAGAGCATCTATGGGATGAACTGAAGAGGCGTGTTCGAGCTCATCATCCTGCCCCGCAAACCATGCAGGAGCTCAAAAATGTAATTTTGGAAGAATGGGAGGACATTCCTCAACATGTTATAACGAGATTGATTAATTCTATGCCAAACCGTATGAGAGCTATCATAAATGCACTGGGAGGCAATACAAGTTACTAAATAAACATTTCTTTTAATGTAAAACATGTCTTTATTTAAAAATCGATTAGATTTATTTCCTTGAAAAAAGCAAATATGGACTTGTTTCAACGTAACTCGATTTTTTTAATAAACTGTAGTTCAAATATAGAACAGTGGCACTCTAAATGAATGATGAGTATACCAGCTCCAAAACTGCATCAAAACATTTTCCTTCTACATACATCTTTTATAAGTTATAGTACTCCAAACCAAAAAAAATCAAGGTGGCTCGATTTAGGTGTCCGGGAGTGTATATTTAAATTATTTTATTTTCATTATTTTTGTTGTTATAACGGAAATTAAGAATACACAAAACTGACCGTCTACCTTTTACGTTTTTTGGCTTGAAATACAGCCTTCTGACAGACAAATGCACAGCAGGGGCTAAGTAATAGGGTTCCTTTCTAACGATCCTTTGGTAACTTATCGTATCCAATTCATAACAAAAAGAAAACTTCCATAATTAAAACTTCAACCTTTTTACGGAAATAGGAACTTTACCAAGTTATGTAATTGATCTTGGTAAAAGGCTAAACCTTAATTGTTGTTATGAAAACCACATAAATGTATTCTCCAGAATATTCCATCCTTTCTCACTGCTCTTCGTAGTGTGCATGCATCGGAACACTTCCACTTTCACTGGCAATTCATTTCCCCTTTTAATTCAGCCCTACTTGTTTCGCTCAGTGTTATAATTATAACTTAACAGTTATTCGCGGTATTTGCAGTCATGGCAATAACACGCTATTTACCTTTCCATTGTACTTATTATCTTCATCAGAAACATTCTTTGCACATGCACTATTATTTTTATCAGAAGTGTTTTTTTACGTTTTCACAATTTTTGTAGATATCATTTTCAGTTTTTTTAATGTTATACTTACTTAATAAATATCTTAACCAACGTGATATCTATATTGTTTTTCATGTGATCTTATTGTATTCTAAACTTTCCACTACTTGGCGCTTATCAAATAGATATGTCGGAATGAGTTCAATTAATATTTTAAACTTTCATTGATTCTAATTGTCATTTATTTTTTAAACTTACTTATCCCTTTTAGTGGTGATTGTAAGATTTAAACGATAAAAGTTATCATTCAGATATAATAATAACATTTTACCAATAAGTATGACATTTGAAGAGCATATGGCATCTGATGAAAAATTTAAATGAAAAAATTTACACAACAATTACATTAGGATTGTGTTGCAAGTTTGACGACCACGAACATCATAACCACGGAACATGACGAATTTCAAAACGTTTGTGTGTAGAAATACCAACACGCGGTTTATAAATTTTATATGGAAGGCCTTTATGAGGTATCCTTTGTAATTTATAAAGGTGGCCTGACAGTCAAGATTCTCACAGTGAAAAGGTTGCATTACAACAATCTGTTTTTGTCAAATTGTAGACAATGGAAAACTCTTGTTCGATAGGTATTGTGCTTATTTATATTATTACTAACTAGCTATGCCCCGCGGTTTATTAGGGTCATTTTCCCGCAGTAAAACGTAGCCTATGTGTTAATCCAGGGTGTCAGCTAACTCCATTCCAAATTTTATTAAATTCGTTCCAGCCGTTTAGATGTGAAGAAGAAACAAACATACACACTTACAAAGTTTCGCATTTATAATATTAGTGTGATATCCTCGTCGGCCTTCAGTGTGTCTCAAGCTGCTAACATTGCAATAATATCGATAATAATTATTTAAAATATATCAAAAGTTAAAAATATCAAAGAAGTCAAAGTTGATTATGCAATTTTATGTTTCAGTGCATCAGGTGTCTACTTTCTAAGTACGAATTCAGAATCTCCGTACTGTCGAGGAAATGATAACGATGACGCAGCAACCAGAGCTGCTTTATTTGACAACTTATATCTACTCTCGGAACCTGATATTATAAACTATTTAAACAGTATGGGTTGAAATATACGTTATGCTAAAATATATGGTATTTTGTTTCTTTTTTCTGAGTATTTTCTATCGGTATCATCGGCTAAACTGTACTTTCGCGGTCCACTGAGTTCACATTTGGTAAGTTTAGGTAAGTGTTGCGACCATAACGCGTGAGGCGAGCGAGCGAAGCGAGTGTACCGCGGTAGCAGGCGACGAAACGCCCAGAAAAATACTTACGCACGTATAATCCGTATCATCTTGTGCACTACTGAGTGCTGGGGAACAGGCCTTCTCTATAGATGGATAAAGAAGAATGGGCCAACACGGACCCAGTGTGAATTGGTGAGTGTTCGCGACTGCAGATAGCAACTGAGATCAACAGCATAATACGCCTCCTGAAGATAGAAGGAGCTCGAGAGAAATTTGATAACTTCCTCGTACGAACGCCTTTGATTTTGTATGGCTACAATGAAAATAAAATAAAACAATAATTTAAATTTGAAATAAAATATTATTTAACCTTGTCAAATATATCACTACATGAATCACAAAACCGATGGCCGACCACCGCACCGGGAAATTTAACCTTGTCAAATATATCATTAAGTATAAATTAGACGTTTATGACGAATAAAGCCTGTCCGTTGTTCGACTTGTCTTTGCATCGTCTATATTTCTTAATATCCTTTTGGCCATCCGCAATTCAGTATTATTGTGAAATACGTCATGTCAAGGAGAGTTTTGGCAGGTTCATAATTAATTTGTCTTTCGTGAAACGGCTGGAAATGTTAAGTGTGAGTGGGGTCAAGTTATTTTTTTATACGCGGCGCAACTAATTACCCCGCTCCACCTGATATGTTAAGTGTAAGTGGAGTTCAGTCAAAAAGATACATCGCACGCTTACAGGAATACTGACCTATTAGTACTTAAGACATACAGACAAAAAGTTGTCCTAAAGCCATCTACATTATTCTATTCATATAGCCTCATAAATATCACTGTCATTAACACCTCACTTTAAAATTAGACACATACCTAGTAAACAAAAAAATGTGCAAACACCTCAATATTGTACGCTATTCTACGTTCAACTAAGTACTAATATGTTAGTATTCCTTTAAGCGTGCGACATGATGTAGCAGGGTTTCGTTTCTGCCAACCTTACCTTGCCGACCTGAACCCAACTAACCCTTCCCCAACCCGTGGAACCCTGGAACCCTACTCACCAGCGGAAACAGAACACCACCAAAAGATAGTGTTATTTAACAGTGGTCATCTGTAAGGTGGAGGTTGCTTCCCCAGACAAGCGCTCCAATTTGAGCGGAGAATCCGCTGGGCCCTTCCTCTAGAGCAGTAATGATTTTAGTTATAATTCAATTAGATTGTGAAAAACAACCTCTTTAAATAAAAAAAAAAACTTATTAGCAAATTTTAGGTGTGGTGAAACTCCATATCAATAAATAAATACTAACGACACTTACAAAAACCTGTGATGACATCTGGTGTTGCTATATAGAGGTAGACGTACATGTCGTGTCAAAAATATTTATATTGTTAATGTTTGTATATTTTAAAACGACTTTTCGAACGACAAATCAATTTCACGGGACACCTGCGAGGAGTTAACACTAGAGACGGGAAAATGCTTTCACCTAGAAACGACACAAATTGCAAACTCGCTTGTGTATGCGACTGTCGCGCCTGCGCACGTCTCTCTTAACGGTTTTATTCCACGCACTTTTTTCAACGAATTTTTCCTTACGGTTTTACTATCACATTTTTTTCAGTTCGGTTGCGCAGCAAAATCCCTATCCCCTCCAAGCCTGCCGTAAGGAACTTCGTCGCGCCCGCGCACGTCTCATTTAACGGTTTTATTCCACGCACTTTTTTCCACTGATTTTTTCTTACGGTTTTACTATCACATTTTCACATTTTTGAAGTTATACTTCTTTAGGCGCGTTATGAAAAAATGATGAGAGTGAAATTTTAAGATGCGCGCGCATCACTGTAACACAAAATTTTAACATAATGAAGTTGGTTTTAACAACTTCATGCGTTACTTTTGTGTTTACCGCACATTAAGAAAATCTACCAACAAAATAGAAATAGAATCTCTATTTAGTGGGTGCTAACGACAGCATTGTGAAGGCCTATCAAAAGTATTTATTAATCTGGAACAACGGAACCAAAGCGCGATCCAGGAGACTACAGCGCCATCTCTTGACCATTGGTGTAGTAGAACCAAAAACCACATCTTTATTTTTTGTAATAAAGTAACAGTTATAGGTATTCATATTTATAATATCAAAAGTATTTATTAATCTGGAACAACGGAACCAAAGCGCGATTCAGGAGACTACAGCGCCATCTCTTGACCATTGCTGTAGTAGAACCAAAAACCACATCTTTATTTTTTGTAATAAAGTAACAGTTATAGGTATTCATATTTATAATATTTATCCACATGTTTCTAGTTTGTATATTCGGAATACGTGTTTGAGTTTCATACAAGTGCAAATCACATATGTTCTAATAAATTATATTCAGTAGCGATTTTAATTGAATATTTTGATTATTTATTTATTTTTTCAAATTAAAACTGAACTTTATTGACTTCGTCCTTTTCCAGACTTTTTATTAATTTATTGTAATTAATTATTTGCATGCAATTAAAAACTAATTTTAAACGATGCCAAAGAAGGATAACTTCTCACGCGCCTACATAAGTACACGCACCCATTTTTTTTTTCAGTTCGGTCAGCTTGTGTTCGTAAAGATTGCTAGGCAGGACTGGCCCACAGATTATAATAAACTACAATGTCACAATAATCCAGTAATGCAGCCCCGTCGCTCTGCCACCCCCTGTTAAGTACTGACCTTGTTATCATGTCTAGCTTAAGTTTACAGCAGATGATAGGCGTTCCTGGTCCACAGCTCGGTATGACGTCACAAATATCCAGATTTCGTGTAATGTCACAATATTCCAGTGCTGCACCCTCGTAGCTGTGCCACCCCCTACATACGCACCTTATTATCATGTCCCGCTCGCGTTCGTTAAGGATGCTAGGCAGGACTGGCCCACATTTTAGAATAAACTACAATGTCACAATAATCCAGTGATGCACCCCCGTCGCTCTGCCACCTCCTGATAAGTACTCACCTTGTAATCATAATCATGTCTCACAGGCGTTACTGGTCCACAGCTTGATATAACTTCACAAATATCCAGTGTTGGTGTAATATCACAATATTTCAGTGATGCACCCTCGTCGCTCTACCACCCCCTATGACATCACACATATTCAGTGTTGGTGTAATTTCACAATATTTCAGTGATGCACCCTCGTCGCTCTACCACCCCCTATAACTTCACACATATTCATTGTTGGTGTAATATAACAATATTTCAGTGATGCAGCCTCGTCGCTCTACCAGCCCCTATAACTTCACACATATTCAGTGTTGGTGTAATATCACAATATTTCAGTGATGCACCCTCGTCGCTCTACCACCCCCTATAACTTCACACATATTCAGTGTTGGTGTACTATCACAATATTTCAGTGATGCACCCTCGTCACTCTACCACCCCCTATAACTTCACACATATTCAGTGTTGGTGTAATATCACAATATTTCAGTGATGCACCCTTATCGCTCTACCACCCCCTATAACTTTACACATATTCACTGTTGTTGTAGTATCACAATATTTCAGTGATGCACCCTCGTCGCTCTACCACCCCCTTTTTTTTTTTTTTTATAACGCAGGTAAAAAATCTTTTTACAGACGACGGCGCCTTTAAGAGGCACACCGCCGAACGGACCTCACACCTGGCTCCCGCAAGTCTTACGGACCCCCCAGTGGCTGACCACCGAGGACCCCGCAACTCTTACGGGCGCTTTACGGCATAATATCCGCTAAAAAAGTCCTGCGAATACCTTATACACTGCTTAGCTCCACCACCCCCTATGACATCACACATATTCAGTGTTGGTGTAATATCACAATATTTCAGTGATGCACCCTCGTCGCTCTACCACCCCCTATAACTTCACACATATTCAGTGTTGGTGTAATATCACAATATTTCAGTGATGCACCATCGTCGCTCTACCACCCCCTATAACTTCACACATATTCAGTGTTGGTGTAGTATCACAATATTTCAGTGATGCACCCTCGTCGCTCTACCACCCCCTATAACTTCACACATATTCAGTGTTGGTGTAATTTCACAATATTTCAGTGATGCACCCTCGTCGCTCTACCACCCCCTATAACTTCACACATATTCAGTGTTGGTGTAATATAACAATATTTCAGTGATGCACCCTCGTAGCTCTACCACCCCCTATAACTTCACACATATTCAGTGTTGGTGTAATATCACAATATTTCAGTGATGCACCCTCGTCGCTCTACCACCCCCTTTAACTTCACACATATTCAGTGTTGGTGTAGTATCACAATATTTCAGTGATGCACCCTCGTCGCTCTACCACCCCCTATAACTTCACACATATTCAGTGTTGGTGTAATATCACAATATTTCAGTGATGCACCCTCGTCGCTCTACCACCCCCTATGCGCACGTCTCATTTAATGGTTTTATTCCACGCATTTTTTCTTACGGTTTTACTATCACATTTTTTTCAGTTCGGTCGCGCAGCAAAATCCCTATCCCCTCCAAGCATGCCGTAAGGAACTTCGTCGCGCCTGCGCACGTCTCATTTAACGGTTTTATTCCACGCATTTTTTCTTACGGTTTTATTATCACATTTTTTTCAGTTCGGTCGCGCAGCAAAATCCCTATCCCCTCCAAGCCTGCCTGTAAGGAAATTTCGTTCCAAAAAAATCAAATATTAATAGTAAACAAATCCTTAAATATACCTATCCAAAAGTCATTATAATTATCTACTTACAATTTTGACAAATAAATATTTTTGATTGATTACATTGTCTAAATAATGGTTTTTACAACCATAGATAAATGATTGGTCTCGCTTCACTCGACTAGATACCGCCGGCGTACTTGTCTAATG